AACTCGTTAGACCAAAAATGACGTATCTTTTTTTAAATTGGACATTCTGCTATAAAAGGGTACACATTTCATCTCGGTTGAGATTACATATTGAACATACATAAATGTTATTTTCCATATAGAGTTAACTTTTTATTAGACGACCCCCTTTATTTGTAAAAAATGTTTTTAGGGATGGTTTCGAATAAAAAAAAATATATCCACCATTTTCCAATATGGCCAACAACTTTGTTATTTCTTATGGAATACGCTGTAAAAAAAGTACGCTGTTAAAAGCTATTTTTTATTCGTGACATTTTTTCTCTAAACCTACCCCATTTAGGAGTTACAGCGTGTTATATCTAAAAGAAAGGCTTGTGGTGTACATTCGGCATCCTATAGCTTATAAACGAGTAAGTTGAGAGAGAAAGTGCAAAGAATAAATAAGTCACATATAAGTCCTCGTTCAAAAAAAAAATATATAAAATACGTCAAAAAATACTGATTTCGTTGTTTTAAAAATGGCCACCATTTTCAAAAATGGTAGCTTACTTTGATATTGGAACAATTTATTTTATGGTTTTTTTATGTAGATGTGATTTGAAAACTTGTTTATTCTTTGTATTTTCGCTCTTAACTTTACTCGTTTATGAGCTACAGGATGCAGGATGTACTCACAAAGAGAAAAATGTCAAGAATAAAAAGGTTTAAAAATTGTGCGTTTACATTCTAAAACAATCATAAAATACAGGGTATTCCATAGGACTAACAAAGTTGTCAGCCATATGGGAAAATGTCGAATATATTTTTAAAATTCGAAATCACTAAAAAAAAATCTTAAAATAAAGGGTAGTGTCCCATAAGAGGTTAACTCTATATCTCATAATAAAAAATTTATCTATTGGTTCACATTAGGTGAGACACCCTGTATAATAAAATGAGGCTCTGGCGTACAGCAGCAAATGCACGATATTCATTCATATGTATCCACTACAGTCTGTATATGATACAGAATGAGCTACATAACGTTAATATAATCTATATAAAGCGGCAAATTCATATACAAAAACCATAATATACGTAATTTTTTTCATTGTTGCGGTGCACAAAAAAGCCAGAGTCCTGTAAAATCAATATACTGTACTACCTATACCCACTATATGCAAACAAACTGTTAATAACTATGTATCATTTTAAAATGTAAACTATGCACCCCAAATTTTGTATCAAACATTTTGTTGTGCGACCTCGTATAAAAAATCTACAAAGAAAGTTTCATAAATTAATCCGTAAAAATTGTTTTTTTATGTTTATTATATTTTTTAACTATGAATATTTAGGATACCATGGTAAATACATTTTTTGTAGAATATCGTAACGCAAAATGATTAATAAAAGATTGCGTTATTATACTTACCCGTTTTAAAGTTATAGCTTAATTTCTAAGAGACTGTAAATTTATCTAAAAGGGGGGTTGAGGAAAGCACAAAGGGGTAGGAGTGGGGACTTTTGGGAAAATGCTCATCTCAACATGGTCTAACAGCATAGAAAAATTCAGCTTTCCCATAGTTACTTACAACATCAAACCTATATTGACTGTGGGCTACGTACCGTCCATGCGCGCCTCGATACTACTACGAATTTTCCACGTTTACTCTTACTGAAATCAACGTAGCTCTGTTGTTTTTGCACAGATTTCTTTAAACTTGGTTCTGTTGTACTACTTGTTAGTTTTTCTAACCATAAATAGTTTGTAACATGCCCTAAAAAAGCGCAATATTTCCGATATTTCATTTTAAAGTATTTTTAAATTTTATTTTTTGCAATAAATGTTGATTAGCGCCTAAACTATAAGAGATAGAATAAAGGTTAACCTTTAACCTTTTTAAAAGACAATATATTTAGGCGTTGATAGACGCTTAATTCGCCTTTCTATCATTAACCGTTTGTGAGTTAGACGCGGAAACGTAAACCGATGACCCGCGCAACTTCCCCCCCTCCCCCCTGAGTTGTGACCACCCTAGAAATGCGACATCATCGATTTTTTTCATCTACTAGATGTCCCCAACAATAATCAAAAGTCAAATTTTGTCAGACTTTCAGTGCATACTCAACCCGTTTAGCGCCTGGACTATTATGAGTCACAGAACACTTCAAAATGACGTCACTGTGTCAATTAGTTATCCTCCTTGACGTTTGTTTATCTTGTACTGTGTCTGTCTGCAATTGGGGCTTGGCTCGCTGTCGCTGCACACTGCAGTCAAGTTTTCATTTTTTATATTGATGTAAGCGTAAGCCTCCGGATTACATTATTAAATAATACCCCCGCTGCAGCAAACCTGCAGACTAAGTGAATTTCAACTTGTCTGATTACATTATTACTAAAATATTTCCATGAATAAGACATATTTATTCCCAATTTAAATAACATAAGATTTAACGAGTGCTTAGGTTTGCTGCTACGGGGAAGGTAAAAAGTGTTCTTTGACCATACGTCAATAATATAGGATGAAATAAATAAATTTGCCAAATTGTATCAACATATATCCATAAACAAGTAAACTTTTTCATTTTCTCCATAAGAATAACATGGGAATTTAAAATTACACTATTTTTGAATTTTCTCCGTGACCGTTAGCACAGATAATATAACCCGTTAGGCATACAACAGCGCTTCAATGTACTAAATTATTTCTTTTTTTAAGCTCTACAAAACTGCTTAAAAAGAAATTGCAAACTTTTTTGTTTTTAGGGTAAAAAATGGGAAAACCCCATTTTTACCCCATAAAACCTCCCATAAACACCCGTTCCCATGGTCCGATTATGCTGGTTCGCGACCTCGTTCGAATAAACGTAGGTTTACACGTTTGTACCAAATTACATCAAAATCGGATCATTTTTGCTCGAGTTATCGCGCTAACGGACACACACACACACACACATATATATATATATACTGTATATACTGTATATACATATTAAATATTTAAGTAAATAAGTACAACTGAGCACCCTGAATATTATATTTTATAAAAAGAAGTGACAAACATATATATGAATTTGAACGGATGGTGTTTTTGGCCTCTAGGGACCTCAAAATGAAAATTATATTGGTCCCGGGTCCAGGTCTTACCATGAGTACTACGGTAATAGCTTATATTCCCTTTATGGGAAATTCGCTAAAAGGGATTTTTGTAAATACCTGCTTCGTTGTAATTTGTAATCCAAAATATTGCTAGTGTAGCCAACTAGTTTCGGCCTATACCTAATAATAAACTTGGTGGTAAATTTTTTTTGTTTTTTTTCTTTTTTGAGGGAAGTTACATTATAATTAAATCATATAAATGACTATATGACATTGTAACAAATTTAAGTGGATAGTTAACATTCAAAAATTCACTCATTATTCACTGTAAGTACTTTGTAATCAAAACATTCTGATGAATTATTGTTCTGTAATGCTTCTTATATTCATCCTTGATCCTCAATTAGTTATGAATCATTCATAAAGTCAACACTAGACACGAGTTTGAAACATAAAAGGTAGGCACTATAACACTTGTTGCATCTATTAGTTTCCTAAATTTAATAAACGGTATCAGCATTCTGACACATACTTTCTCCCATAAGTTTGTCAACAACCTTTATCGTGTGTAAGTTGTGAGAGTAAATATACGCAAATGGGATTTGTACAATTTTGTTCAGAATTTAAAGGACTATAACATGCTAAATTTTTATCAAAATCGTCCGAGCCATTTTTGGGAAATCCGATTGTTCTGCTATTTTACGGGGGTTTTATGGGAAAATTACATAATTTACAATAATTTTTGAACCATAATTTTTACAGAAATGGGATTTGTACCATTTTGTTCAGAATATAAAGGACTATAACATACTAAATTTTTATCAAAATCGTACGTATTTGACGATACTGTACAGTACAATCCGTAGTAGTTCAAATACATTTGGGAACAGAAATTACTGCCGAAATAAAAAACATTAACATCAACCATCGCTGTTATGAACCTCTGTCAGAAAGAAAGCAAATGTTTGCGGAGGAAAATTAGCGTAACCGGCATCCAAAACTGGAATTACTGCCATAAACAAATACAGGCTTATATGCCTAAATGAATCAATATTTTCTTATGACAGGTAGATGTAAAGTCAAACCATACAAGTGATGGATAAGATTATGTAATGCGTTGTATGATCCACATTAACCACCCTAAACTTGCGACGAAGCACAAAAAAAATTAGCCACGACATAAAAATTTACATTAAGATGAAATGTTAACAGCGTACTGTAAATCAATGAAAAAATGTACATTCAAAATATTTCTAAACAAGAAACTGCACTATAAACAAAACGGGGAAATAGAATACCTTTATAGTGGTTGTTTGGTCATATAAAATATATGAAATTGTTAACTAATTTGTATCGGGATACGCCCTTAGGTTAGAGAAACGTGGTATTTATGAAATGTGACATTACCTTTATATTAGAAGCCATCTTCCCACGTACTGTGAGCTCCGCCTTGTATAACAGGGATGGCGAGTCACCCACACAATCGTATTGACCGAAAGTTTCCTCCCCTCACCACCCCTATACACACACCCTCTCAACTACACCCACACTCATACACACGCATACAACGCACGTATCGTGGATCTCGGATTGAGGATCTGCTTGTAGCTTACTGAACATGGTGTTAATCGTTATGTATGCAAACAAAACTATAAAAAATATCGATACAAAAACAAAACACACATTATTATAAGCTACATGGGTAAATTACCGGAAGGAATGTACTGGAAAATTAGGTACTGTTGAAAGAAATAATATTAGGAAATTGGTTTAATGAGGATTTTATGATAGTTTAATTGCAATTACAAACATTACGCTTACGCTAGTATCTTACTAGGGGTTGGGTTTATCAAAAAATAAAGTGGGTCGTTGTGCGGGTTGACAGACATGCGCGAAACATCTGATCGATACCCGCCATGCCGCCAAGCGATCGTAGCGCTGCTATCGCGACTGCGCCAACTATCTCTACTCGGCTAACTGCTGATGTTCGACACTTGGACGATTTTACATCAAATTTCGTGTGTTTTGTGAGTGTCGAAGGCGACCCGACTTTGTACATAGCTGTAAAATATGTAAGTAACTTTTTGACACGTATGTTTAACGGATATAACCGGGCTAAATCGGAGTAAGAAAGATTGTAAGATAGATTCGAGGGGGTGGTCTGTGCACCTTCTTTTCATTGCAAGGCAGAAGAAAACTGGACAAATTGAACAGATTTAACGTAAAAGATAGGTAGTTATAAAGTAATTACGTTAAAACATTGTTGTTTGAATTCGAGTATGCATCTTTTGTAATAGTGGTGGACGAAAAGTGCGTTTATGTGTTAAAAATATGAAAGAGGTAAATTACAAATCGATTGCATTGACGCGTGGGTGGCACCCGTCCTGTCATCTTAAATGTAATCCACTTTTCGATTACGCAAATATAATCGTAAATTATCGTTGTATCGTTTAGTTATCAAAATCTACGATTTATTTGCATTCTTGGCCTTTCGGACGTTTTAAAGCCTTCAATATGCGTGAAATATCAGTATATAAATCTTACTCCTGGAAAAGCTGCAATGCTAAAAGTTGCATTACGATATCAAGAAGAAGAAGAAGAAGAAGAAGAAGACATTATATATATATATGAAATTGTGTTCTAATTGTTTGTGAAAATGATTTCTTTTGATTGTTATATCAATTTATTGCAGTAAACTAAAAGTTACTTAAAACACAAATAAATAAGTTTTTATGTAAGCTTTTAATAAATTTGGCTATAAATGTGATATCACATTATAGAGCGTAAAACAAATTAAAATATATAAAAAAATTGCTTTATTTTATTTTAAATTTATGAATACTGTACAAGTAGTAAAATTATCATTCATTTTGACACTGGCTCTTTCAATTGAATTCTTTTAACATAAAAAATAATTCTGGATTTCTAGATGTTAGTAGTGGTTAGTATTAGTAATTTTTTAGCTTGAAAATATCATTTGGCACAAGAAAATATGTTAATAAAAGTCTTACTGACAAAAGTTTTGAGTATAAAAAATAATTGGCTACTAAAATATACTAAGAGATATGAGTATATAAGTAATACAAAATACAACCAGTTTTTATAGGAGGAATCACACTTTTTAAGGCTTACAATAACCTACATAATTTACCGGTACAGGTTTAATAATTCATTAAATGTTAAAGAAAGTATGGTTAAATGGGTAGGTGCTGTGTAAAGTGTTGACTTGGTTACCATGATTATAACCTGCAATGTTTTATCAGTATTCCTTATCATAAACCAATAGGCTTAACAAAACAGGAAGAAGCTCCTAATCTATTCTTACCAATCGGTCCAAATAATTATTTTTGTTTTATCCTTGTGACAAAAATATTGCACATTGATGTAGCTGGTAAAACTTATTATGTCACAGTTTAATCATACCCAAAATTTAATTGGTAGGAACTTACCTTTCTATGAAGAAAAGTGATTCTAAAATCTTTTATCATTGACATATGCAATTAAAATATGTAAACAATTTTAATGTAATGTATATATAGGTCAAAGCATTATATCTCTGTTTTAGAAGTCCTTACCTTCTTTTAAAAAATTTGAGTTTTTTTCATCCCATCAACTTATATTTCATTCTCTTTTAAAGTTACATTGATAATAATGAGCGACAAATTAGACACATCGAAATTCATATGGAAATTCAAATACCCTCTCATTATACCCTCCAATGTGTCTATTTAAACCGCCAACAATCTTTATTAAATATGTTTTTTAATCGGCCTATGATTTTTCTAAGATCTATAGTGTTCTTAATTTTTTTCAAAAAAATATGGATATTGAATGAGAGGTTTGTACTCTGATTGAATTGTTTTCTGTACAGATAAAGTGAATAGAATCTGAATGATTTTCATAATTGAGTTTTAAGTTTCTGTCCAACGCATTTACTCTATAAGATGACCCAACTACAAACTGCTCAACACTCTGATGATTCAGCTCAATGAAAGCTCAGCAGAATGTCAAGTATTGGTCCTCTTCATCAGAGCTAATGTTGTATAAAGATCCAGTTTATGGATCTCCAATTTGCTATAAATCTTACCAGTTGGCGTTATCTTATTTTCCATGAAAATGTTGAAACCCCCAACTTTTGCATTGCATTCTAACCATTTTAAGGCATTTAACCATCCCAAAATTTTTAGAAAAGATTATTAAAATAATAAAAAAACGCCCACTTATGATGTGTAATATTTGGGTCAAGCTATTTAAATTGAACATTTTCAGTTACCTATAAATTTTTAAACTAGAATAAAAATTGTAAAACCATTTTTTGTTGTTATTTTTCAGTAAAAACGTTTAGTTAGGGGCAGTTAGTTGCAGACATTTGCTAAAAGGAACTCAAATTTACTGTTTATAAGGAACATATGAGTAACTTCTTTGTTGAGCCTAAGACCAGTGCTCGATTTGTGAAAAATGAGGGGTCAGAACTGTAACCTAATTATGTACCTTAATTATGTCAATATTTTTATCTTTCCGTAATAGAGAGATACCAAGTCCCGGAACTCTGTTCTGCCATGTTCCCCTGCACCGCCTTAAACGATTGCACATATCTTTCATCCAGTGTTTTCTTTAACTGTTTGGCTTCTCTAACATAGATTTTTTATTTTTGGAATGAAAAAGGGTTAATCTGACATTTGACTTAGATGATCGTGTCCTTCAACAACACCGCAACAGATGGTTAAAAGTAATTGTGTGCAGTCTATTAAAATGATCTTACAAATAAGTTAAATTTACCATGATGATGGGGACAAAATATGGCGCAAGAAGCTGGTATAATATTGTTTCTTATTTTTAACTAACACTATGCAGTGACGGATCCAGAGGGGTTTCAGCAAAAGCCCCCCTTCTCGGGCATAAATGTATATATATTTTTTTTACATTGCGTAAAATAATTTGTCACACTAACTTTTGACAAAGAAATGGTATTAAACTGCCATTTTGGAGACTTAGTTTACGCAAATTCTTTGGGGGGGGGGGTACCCCCAAACCCCCTAGACCCGGTTCACCCCCCCTTGTGACAGTTCTAGATCCGCCACAGACACGTGACACTATATACTCTTGGATTAATAACTTGTATGTATGCTTAAATATTCTGGAGGGAGGGACATAAGCTAAGCATCCATATAAGTCCTTCATATTGCTGCCTTTGACTATTGTCGAGGAATAGTGACAATACAATCGATACTTAGTACCTAACTGAAACCATTAGCCAATAGAATAATAATAAAGATTATTTCAGTAGAGGCCTGCATTCTTTGAAAATGTAAAATTTTGTTGGAAGTCATCATGAAAAAAAAAACTTATGTTAAATAATAAACTCTCTATATAGCTATATAGGATAAAAAATGAATACCCAGGCCCACTTTTATAAACTGGCAGACTGGGCATATGTCCAGAGGCGCCAAAGGTTTGGGGGGCGCCCATGGGTGCCCCTCAACCAATAGGCATTGGCCCACACTAGGAAAAAATGGGGGCACTGCTTTTGGGTTTGCCCAGGGCTCCAATGACCCTTAACGCGGCCCTGTGAATACCTCAAACAAAGCTTATATCGGTTGTTCCTGCCGCTCTGATTTTTCGGTACTGACCAACATAAAAACAACTGAATAATCAGAAATCCAGTAAAACTGGCCACAAAATATTTGTTTTTCTATACGTTCCTAGTTTTATCTGCAAAGAGATACCTAACAAGCAGCTTTGAAAATAAAATCATTTCAAGCTGGCTAGAAAAACCGGCCTTGAAGGTGGTCAACCCACAGGAAGTAAGGTTTACATAAGGAAACAAGCTTTTGGGACGACCGTGCGCTTTCAGCTCTAGTATGTTGTCAGTGGTGTAGTCCTAAATTTCCCAGTGCAGGAATGCATACCATTGTTGCGGAAAAATATGGGTCTCTTACCAATTACTATATAGGTTCTTGGGGCAAAGCAGAGTGGGAAAGCTGTGCCCTTGCGCTCCTGCCCCAGTACACATATACTGTATATGCTGTGCCGAAATATCTTGTGACTAGCAAGGAAGAGCCAGAGCACTGTGCGTAGGACACTGGGTCTTCCTTCACCATGAGCGTTGTAGTACATGAGGATGGGTGGCGTTGGTCTTAAACCCTAGACACCAGCGACTATTGCTAGACACTACCTTAGTGTACCATTGTGTGATTTCTCTGTACTTTACTTCTCTGTGGCTAACCTTATACGTACAAAAGTCGGTTAGTTTTAATGGCTTCACATACAACAAAGACAGCTGATGTTGACAAAATTATGTAGGTACTGTCATTGACTACTGTATGCTACTGTATACACGTATAGTCAATGGTACTGTTCACATAAACGGCAAGCCACACTAACCAAACAAGTTCAAAGGGTTAATTCACTAATGTAAATCTGTGTGTTTGTGTTGCGTATTTATACTCTTAAATCTTAATTTCTTGTGTACATTCTTCTTCTTCTTTATGTTTATCTGTGTTGTTTAACTTGATATTTCTTTCTCACAGCCATTCTCTAATGTCTGATGAGCCAGTGGTTGAGTAAGTTCAGGGAAAGAAAAACTCCTGCATATGAAATCTAATCTCTGCTGTAGTTTTGTGCAACAAGCTAGTAGAGGCTAATTGATAAATAGACACAGAAAAAGGACTAAGAATATTGTAAGAGTGTATTTACCACATTTTTTTATTGAATTTTAAACTATCCAGTCCTTTTCAGATTCGGGGAGTGTTGTATAATCTAGTTGTATTTTTTTCAAAAATCCATTTTATTATCATTGGGATCAAACATTAAAAAAAAATTTGTTTAATGCTGGTGTAGTTCAAGTATATGGTACAAATACACCCTTATGTGGGGTAGATGTGATTTGAAACATTGTACATATTTTACATTACATTTAGTTCAATAATTATTGAGAAGAGCAGCCTTAAATTGGAAATAGGCTTAAAAATGAAATGATTGAAACAAATTATCTGTGCGGTGAATTAAAAATATTAGTCTCTGTTTATCCTTTTTCTGTAATTGCATTCCAAGAAAGGTGTTCATTATACTTCACAAACAAGCATTTTTTCTAAGCTCCTTAGTTTGGCAGTATTATTTATCTCTTTAAAGGTACATTTAATAAATGTTTTAAACAACTTCAAGCTATCTTTGATGCACATCAGAACAGCTTTAGTAAGTATGAAAGCTCGCATGTGAGCTATGAAAGCATTTTAAACACAGTAAAATTTTTCAATAATCAACTCTTTAGATTAGTTTATAAGTAAGTGCTTTATTTTTATGGAGAAAAATCAGTAACTTTTATAAATATGCTGCTTTTTAAACTGCATTCAATAACTTCTTGATCAGCATTGTAAGTATTATTAAATTTACGGAAAGTAAATAAAAGAAAATTCTTATAACACTTAAAACATATATTTAAGCTTATATTATTACTTACAAGACGGTAAATATACAAAAAAGATGGTAAGTGGTGATCGATTTTGATTGGACACTCCAATCATCATCAGACCCAAGGCGAAATACATTCATAAGTGTTATAAGAAGTTTCCTTTATTTACTTTCCGTAGCTGCATTCAGTACAATAACTGCATAATAAAATAACTACTACATGTAATGGATTTCTCATTGATTTTCACTTTGAGCCCAATTAGTGTCATGTACACAAATTATATTGGAACAAGAGTTTTCTAATCTTCATAAACACCTAGAATACGCACCACTGCAACCATATGTTGTAAAGAAAGGTGAAAATAAACCTCCCAACTTGCATTTGTTTTTCCTCGTCAATCATATCTACTTGTCCCTACACATCAAAGTAATGCAATGGATTTTTATTTAATTAATACTAAATACGCAGCTTTATTTGGAGCCAAATTCAACAGCTACAAAAAGCCTACCTGAAAAGAGGTAGGTGCACTAAGTGCAAACAAGCAAAAGTATGACAACTGACAAATACTTAGTTAAAAACTAGTTAGTTAAAATAGTTAGTTAAAAACTTAGAGCAATATGTTCCTCAGAAGCCAAAAAGACAAACTTTTCAATGACAACTCCGTTTATGAATTTTGTAACTACACAGTAAGTTATAGGGATTGGAACTCTATATCTCAAGAGATTTGCTTGCTGGAGGTTGTATGACTTACTACAGTATTTTAATCAACCTATTTTTGTATATTGTTTGTTAATGAAGGATTAGTTTGATCATGAGGTTCCATTAGTCGGACTTATAGTGCTAGAAGGGCTAAATGCAATTAAAATTACTATGTATTGTAACACCAGTAGTTTTCATCTATTTTACTTATCTGCTACCTAATGTAGTTTGACACAACAGCAACTGATGTATACAATCCTAGTTCAGAAAAATGTTTAGTTATAGTTTTAATGCAATTGTTTTCAAAGTATTATAATTATTGTAAAAACGCTGTTTTGGATAAACCTTTTACGTATTTTTCTTTTGAGCTGTTTTGACAGATACAGAAAACTGGATAGAAAAAAATATTATGGATTTGTTTTGTGTTTTGAACAATACCGTATGTATTTAAAATCTTTTAATCTTTGACTAATCTTAGTAAAGTCCCGCAATTTTACTAGTGTACATAATAATAGACTTGATACTACAGTAATGGTATTGTTCCTACCATAGAATATTACTATTGCTGTTTCCACAAAATAAACTTAAAAGACAATCAATTCTACTTTGCTCTTCTATGATTATAAATTACACCTTTTATTTTATAACCTTTTAGCCTTTAAAATCATTTTCAGCTATTTCAATTCCTGATATTGTTGGGAAAGGACTAAAGGACCCCCAGACCACCAGTAGGGGGGTGTCACACCTATTAGTAATATTCACGCTAACCCTGGGCCTGTTTGTACTTTCAAATCTAACAGCCAAACATTTTCAATATGCTTGATTTCTGTAGAGCTCAAAGCTTTAACACTTTTTAGAAAGCTGCACTACAGTATTTACAACATCTACAATCATCTCTGACCGTGACCGAGTACTGTAAGCGTATGATGTGTAGGTCTGCCCCTGATGCTGCCGGAGGTCTGGCGCCCGGCCAAGCCGGAGAGGATGGGATTGTCGGCGGCCCGCGTACGCCACAACAGATTGCGGCACAGAAGAGATTACAGCAGACACAGGCACAGGTTGACGAGGTAAAGTTGAAATTATGTATTTACTTTATTTTACCATATTATATAAAAATATATATGATGTGAAGTTGGTGTAGATTAGTGTGAAGAACTTTGAGTTGAATTCACTTTCTGTTCAAGACATGGGGACCAGGGAGGGCCATTCCCTCCCTCCTTAGTGGTGGTTGTATACCTCGATCAGTAGGAACACTTGTAAGGTTTTGACTTTAAGGATAACATGGGTTGGACTTGAAGTTTGTGGCTATTTCGATAAAATCACGGTAAAATAAGATAATCTTTTCACTATTCCTCCTCTCAACTGACAGTTAATTTTTATATAATGAAGAAAATATCTGAGTTTTCAAACAAAATTGTTTTCAGGTCGTAGATATTATGAAAACAAATGTTGAAAAAGTATTGGAGAGAGATCAGAAACTGTCTGAACTGGATGATCGAGCTGGTAAGTTAAGGAAAAAACTTAGCATAGACTTTATATTTAATTTATTTCAATTGTTAGAAAATAGCGTTAAAAATGTATAATTAATTAAGACTATGTGTACCCTTTTCAGTCCAAGCAATTAGTTTTCTAATACAATTTACTTTGCATACATTTAGAACTGGATGAATCTATTATCAGGTCTAGAAACATGAAACACCCTCTTTGCAGATTTGTAAGTTTTGGACATCTACACATACATAAAAAACATTTGAACACAAAATTAAGCATTTCAAAACTTGTAAAAACTTGGGTTATCCAGCCGGTTGGCGATAACTTTGTTGTGTTTAAATCTGTACAGGCCTGTTCCCTATTGAGCTCTTGTGTCTATATAAACAGTCCATTGTTGCCATACTCTGGTTAAGTTTTTGATTAGACCAGGATTAAATTAATTTACCACATTCGTATTAAGCTCATTGGTTCTCATCCTGGAGTTTTTGTAAAAGTAACTCAGTAATGTGTCCAAAATAAGTAGATTAAAATTTAACAAGGCACATGTTCCTCATGGGTTTCTACCTACTTTTTACAACCTCGTCTTATGTGTATTTGTGTTTCTTATTAGTGATTGTGCAAGTGATAACAGCACAACTAGAGTGCAAAATTGTTATCTCAACTTAACACACTTCCATACATAAAATGTTAGGGAGCGACCTGGTCTTGTGAGAGAATGGGACTTTGGTTCTCGAGGTCCCGGGCTCAAATCCTGCCTATCGCCAATGGTTTTTATGAATTGATAAATGCTACAACCTCTTGGTCTAGACTGAAATAACATAATAAACAATCCCAAGCTTAAAAAACCATAAAATGCCATAAAAACAATTATATTTTTCTTTCTTCTCATAAATTATTTTAATTTCTTTGTTGTTGTCTGTTTTTTGTCTGTTCTGATGATTATTGTTAACATAGGTTAAACCAAGTACAAGCCTAGTTACAATATCTAGTTGGAACTAAGTATTACATAAAAAAATTATAATGAACAAGCAAAATGAAAAAAATCAGGCTAGTACTTTGGTGACTTGAGTAGTTGTATTTCTTACGCCCAATATAAAATACATAATATGAACTTTCTATGATAACATAATATGTTTACTATTTAAATTCAACTATATTTAGAGAAAATTTATAACAAAATATTTTATTATATTAAAAAAAATATATTATTTCAGATGCACTGCAGCAGGGAGCTTCACAGTTTGAACAACAGGCTGGAAAACTAAAGAGAAAATTTTGGCTGCAAAATTTAAAGGTAAGAAAATAGTTGATATTTTGCTTTGATTTGATTTCAATACCATGGTTGAGGTTTGAGAAGTACTGCAAAATGTTTATGAATGTTCTTACAAAATATTCCTCTTTGTTTAAAGCTGTGGTATGGTAGAGTGCATAATCATTTTATGGAAATGTTGTTTATCAAATTTAATATTTTAGCAGTGTTGTTTTATTCGGGGTCAAAACATAGGCTACATCAGTCATGATAGGCCGATACAGTTATAGGCCTATAAAACAGTTAGGTAAACCTGTTGATAAAACTTCTCAACATTTTTAGAAATACAGTCAAGTATTATAATACTTTTACTAAAAACCATTGCGTGACAGATATTTGAAGGCGCATCATATTGAGCATTGAATGAGAATTGTACTCCTTGGAATAATAAAGTAAACTATACAGTAGTTTTCAAAGTTTCAGATGCAGCAAACACCATCAACTTCAGTTTCAGTACAATTTAGCAGTCTAGTCATACAGTAGCCAGCAAAGAAAAATATTAGTAATAACCGTAATAAATTAAACTGTCAACTCTTTTTTATTAAGTTTATTTTTTACAAACTTTCTCTCATTGGTAACATTGTGTTTGTTTCAGATGATGATTATCATGGGGGTCATTGGTTTAGTAATACTAGCCATAATCGTAGGTAAGTTCAACTAATCGACCCCAACTATATAGATCTGAGCATGACTGCACGGCGCAGGAAATCATTTCAAGACGGAATTGCTAACAACGTTGGTCTTAAAAATTCACCCATATTACCCAAAATTGCAGAACTTTATTCCACCTTGGTTTATGTAGGTCATACAACGACACATAGTTTCGTTCACGAACCTCCCGTTATTTACGAACTTTTAGAGTGATCTAAAGCCCAGGTTACTTCAACTGTTATTTATTGAATACCGTTTCATATGTAAATATAAAATTGTTTGTTCGATATATCACAGTAATTATGTAAATTGTACTACACATTGTATTCTTTTGACTTCAAACTGTAGAAATTATACTGTAAATACGTGTTAAGTTTCTTTTGAAAGTGTTTACACTTGTCTTATATAGTGAAGGATAGCTTATTAAATAACTATATTAACTATTACAGTAGACTTCTGAGTGTGTCGTTGCTGTCGCTAATGCATAGATCTTTCCTCTACAAAACCAAACACTTAACTGAGCATAATAAATATCATAAGAATAACAGATATAAGGAGTTCTCACTATTTTCATTCATATTCTGGTTTTTGAATCGCCCGTATATAGTTTTAATAATCCTAGTGTTCCTATGTACTTAGTTCATTTTTCATTCCATTATAATTCACTTTATCTCACTTTGTAGTATTTTACTATTTATACTTTGTGCTTATTGCACAGTGTATTGTATTGTTGCATGTGTATTATTGGAAATATTTATAGTTCAAGATCGTATCTTGCGCTTCTATTGATCATTTTATGTACCAGTGACAGGCCTGGATTTACCACTCACTAGGCAATCTTTGCCCCCGCCTTATAATAATCGGAAATCCCAAAATGACCAAACTAACAATAACCTAGTAATGAAAGCATAAGTTTGCTTATAAAAGTAACCATCAAACCCATGTTAATTAACTACATCTACCCTCATAAAGACAGCCCTGTCCTGAGAAGGACTAGTGCTGCCGCACTTGTAAAGGTCTCACACGACCTAAAGCGATATTCATACAAAACTATTAAATTTCTACTAAATGAATAGTCCTACTACAATTTTGCGAAAGTTTTGCTACTATAAATCTTTCTCTTAAAAACTACTTCCTGCGTGATAAATCCAGTCCTGCAGTGATACTGTTTTGCTTTTGAAATATACCAAACTTATTTATTAGGATTGGAGTTACCACTGCTTTTGTAGTAATAGTATTCTTTAAGCTTATTGTTTTCTTTTACTAACATGTACTTAGGAAACCCACCAGTGTGTGAAATAGTTAGGAATAAAGAGTAGGTCCTTCATTATGCGACCTTAAATTTAAACATTCCGATACTTGAAATAAGCTTTGCAAAGAGTAACATGTACGAGAAATCTAACTACAATCTTTACCCAGATCAAACTTGTTATATTTATTGTCCATCAGTTTGTGTTTTGATGAGAAGAGAATATTTTCCTCGTTGCTGATAACACCAAAGGTATATGGACGACAGTCAGACAGTAAAAGACAATATAAGGCTAATGGCTGGATTTGGAAATGTATAATATCTTAAATAAATGTACCTTACCTCCAGTGTAAATATAAGTACGATACGACAGACAGGTCGCTGGTTGCGTAGATCTAGAAGGCTTCTTCAGCTAATTCTCCTGTTATAATCCTAGATTGTTTATGTGACGCGGCATTAGACATAGTTATCATTATTGTCATTTAAGTTTTGTTATTGATGAAATATATTTATTTTAAATATGATTAAATGTACGTTTAAATTTAATATTACTATATCCAGTACTATATTCGTAGCTGGAAATTATATGTAAAGACAGAGAGAATATATTGAGTGATTGTAAAATTAATGTAGGCCTACAAATATGTCCCATGACATTGTGTTAAAATGTGTGAGTCTTAGAGGTGTTTTAATGAAATAAAACACGTTTTGCGAAAAATTACCATTTTTATACATTTTGTCAATCTTAGAGAGTTGTACATATTAACACTTACATATCTTGAATCTTGATTGAAAACTCCTGATTTGGAAGTTTGGCCAGAAATAAATTAGGTACTACAATTTACTATGAATTTCATAAATCAGCTTATGTAAGATCATAGCTTTTAAAATAAAAAACAATAACTTTCCAACTAAAAGCGCAGTTAATTATTCATGTCAAAAGTCGGGAAATTGAATAAGTAACATCATCTCTTTTTAAATAGGATATTAGTTAGACATAAAGAATTTGTCTAATTGATCTTTAGTTTTACTTTAAGTCCAAAGTTATTTATTATATAGTTATAAGCTGCTTATAGCTAACGCTAAGTCGGCTATTTGTTGAGTAATTTTGTTGTACATGTAATTAAATAGTTTTTATGATTTATTGGAAGTTGATCATTCCATAAGTAAATACAGAATAGCTAAACACTTCAGCAACATATTGGGTTTTACTTACTACTTTTGCCACTTGTCATCACATTGAGAATGGTATGCTTTTCATCTCGCTAACATCAACTTGCAATTTACGCTTTGGCTGAGGATACATAATAGCATGGGGCAGTTTTTTGAGTCTCAATTCTTAATACAAACACTTACATAACAATGGGAATTGTTTGGTTTGTATAGGTAAGTCACATACATTTCTATACCATCATACAAAGAGGAATCTAAAGAGTCAACAACACACTCCTTGTAGATAACCTACACTGTAGGTCTACAGAAGAATTCCATATGGTTGATTATTTTGTTGTTTGACAATCTAAAATCTCTAAAACCCAACTGTGACATCATCAGAGTTCCTTGAAGGAAGAGTATCTATGCTTACACTTACACAAAATTGTGAAAGTATAAATTCAAATTCCAAAGTAATAACTTAACAAATTACCCACTGAAATACCATACTGTTTGGGATTAAAAGAAGCATTTTTTTAAACAACTAACTGTTTTGAGATCTAAAGTGTTTTGATGAATTTAAAAACATCCACCCTAGGTACGGTAACTAATGAATTAAAAAAAAACAACCAGAGCACCATGGACCCAGGCTATGGAATTCTCCTGTTAAGTTAATTAAAATTTGAGCAGTCTGACCAGACTTATTCAGCATGATCAGTCATAATATAAGCTATAGCTGTGTCAGAATAACTAAATTTTATATACATCTCATAAAAGATCTACCATAAACGAGTGAAAATTTGTAATACAAAATTTTAAACAGGGCAGAATATTGGAGTAAAAATTAAAATAATTGTTTATAGTTTTGGGAGAAAGACAAGAGACGACTTGGCTTACGAATACATTAATGAAGAAGGAATGGATAAAAAACTAGTTTATCCAAGGCAATAATTTCAGGCAGTTAACTTAATCAAATTTTGCATCACATTTAATTTAATATTTCGCCCTGACAAAGGGGGTTTCATCAGAATTAATATGGTAGAAAGTCAGTTGCAAAACCGTGCCTCCTTACAAGACACATGTTTCCTTCTGATGATTAATTGATGAATTAATTGTGATGTGAACTTTTTCTACATTGGAATTCCTTGGGTGAGGTAGTTGTATCCACTCAATATTCCTAAATGTATTCCTAAAAGTTTTAACTCAACCACATAAGAGAATTAACTCTTGTTTCCTCAAGCAAGAGTGAAAATGTCCACTCATTCATTCAAGACTTACTTTCAGAATCTCGACTTTTGATTATATCTTAGAATAGAATCAAATAGTTTGTACTCAGGTAAATGAAGGCCCAGGAATATTTTTATTACTGGCATGCATCATAATTAAAGCATGCACAAATAACATTTACCATACTCTTATTACATACACTTCTCATTGATATTTGCACATTTATAATCACGGATATCAGATAAATCAACATTCAGACAATTTTGACAACTATTCAAACGCTGGTTTTTTTAGTACCACTGAAAGATAACCAAAATTACTTTACAATATAAAAAAATAAATTTAGGTAGTATATTTTATGGAAAATATTTAGTGAGTCATTTGGAAAAGAATTCACAAATTTTGAATTTAGGTTTTTGAAACATACAACATAAGCTACAAACAGAGGTTTGTTGGACTGTTGTCTAGTGTAATAAAAAAGTCTAAATGAGTAAAGTTAGTAAATAAGGGAAAAAATTAGTAGTCGAATTTTTATAGTAAGTGATTTAAATACTAAATTTAATACTACTTTTAACACTACGGTACTCATTAAAAAGTGATTTTTAATAGAACAATGCAAATAATCAAACAAACAGCATAGTATGAATAAAAGTATTAACTGAAACTTATTAGGTAGGTAACTTTTTTGTTTTTAAAGACAAGTCATGTAAATGCCCAAGCCTTACTTTCAACAAACAAACTTAAAACAAATTCTATAAAAAACTCAGATTGATTATAAATGTGGGAAAGACCATAATCATGGAGAATTTTGCATGGTATTTCTTGATATTTCACATTTATATTGTTTGAGAATCAAAGCAGCAGCTCAGAATTGGAAAGGTTTGCAGAAGCTTTCTAAGGTAAGCCAGCATTTTTTTTTTGTTTTAGAATAATTATTGTTTAGAGCATGTTTAAGCTTACATACATTTGACACGGCATGTTTACACTATAGTCTTAATTCAATCCACACAGTTGGTGAATTTCGACAATCAATTTAGATTTACTTTTATAATGTAGAATTGGTGATTGAATAAAGTATATTCTAACAACATGCCAAGGTCCTGAGAGATGTCCTTTTCCTTGCGCCAAACCTAAAACCTCTTGCATCCCCCAGGCTACTGTAGCCATAGTCAAAGCAGTCCTGTTCAAAATTAATGAATAAAATACTTAACTGAGGCTTTTAAAAAATAGAGAGGATTTAACATACATTTCTAATGCACAAAATTAAAATAATAGCCTAATTGATGCTAGCAATTTCAAGTGTAAGTAAAATATACTCATTGAAAAATTAATATTCTAACCAACATAATCAATAAATGTAAGAACTAAATGCCTAGCACACCAAAACCACAAGTTTTCGGAAAAATATAATAGCGAAAATTTGAATAAAAACTCAACTATATTTAGAAAACTCTTTTGAGATTAAATCCAATGCATTTATTAGCCATAAAACCATAAAAAATGTACAGTATGCGTTAATACTTAAATGACAATATCTAATATACGTCTACGTCCGAAAACGATACAAATTGAGACTGTTTGGATTGTAATTACACTAGATCGCTACTTTGCTACAAGTATCTAACAGACACAGTAGGTAGTTTAGTTAGTGCAACTTGCAACAAGAAAATCATCACAACACCCCAACATAACTCTGTTAAGTGCTTTATATGTTAGTTGGTCAAACAGTTGCTCCTTGCCAGCTAGGACTATATTGATAGGTAGACATCCCATATCCATATTACAGTTGTCACCTGCTTTTAAATCAAAATGGAAGTTGCAACAATAGATTGTGCTGATGTTATTAATTAATAAAAGAAATTTAATATAAATCAATCAGTAAACAGACAGAACTCCAGCTCCATCTTTCTAACTCTCTAAGGGTCCTCCACTTCTTTCCTGTTCTCCTTAGACACATGCTGCTGGCCCTTAATGTTGCACAGATGGTTTTTAGAGTTTTTACCCTTATCCACTTCATAACCACACTGTAAGGTTTCTTCCATTTTTCTATTAGTCGGTCTACCAATGTCGGTTGCCAATGCTCTGGCAATGTCTGAAACTCTTCGCCTAGCATTCCGTCTACAGAAGTGACTAATGTGGGGTGAAAGAAGCGTTTCTCGTTTCTGTTGGTGTCACTCTTCTCTCTTTCAGCATTCTCCAATACTTTTTTGTATGGGAGGTTCGAGTACGATGGAGCATCAGTGTCAACGACGATTTGTTATTTCTTATTTCTGACGAATGTTCCAACTTTTTTACCAAAGCCAACTGATAGGACTTATTATGATGTGTAAGCTTTAACATCTTTCATTTCACATAAAATATCTTGATTACTAAAGATTAGGTATAAACAATCATTTTAGCACGCTTTGTGACTTCAACTATATTTTTTTAAGTAACAAACTGGTGACAGGTGGTCAATATAGATGTGATGTCTACTTCAGTAACTGAAAGTCAGTAATGTAAACACAGGAGTGAGTGTTTGACAGTTCTTCCGTCTTTTACACTAGTAAATCTATTGTTGATGTTTCCAGCCAAATTCATGCCGGAGGAGAAGCAGCAACCGCAGATGATGATGTATCCCCCGAACATGCAGATGCCTCCGCAGATGCCTCCCCCACAGCCAGCCCCCGCAGCATCCAACGCAGCTCCTTCGGCTTCTTCTCACCACTAAACACCTGCACAAACACTACGTTACTTCACATTTTTGTTTATTTTTTCTGATGAATGTACATTCTCGATTCAAGCTGTTTCATTTAGCTTAACCAAAGAGGCATTGAGGTACTAACTAGTTCGATGTAAATTCCACAAAGTAATTAGACAAGTTTAGTGTTTAAGGGTATAACAAATTACGCTACATTTTTGTCTTATTTCACCCATGTGTTATAGGAAGAACCGAAATTCCATTTTAACTGTTATTATAATGTAAATAAACCGAGAACTACTTTATCGAGTTTGTAGCAACACAAATGGAGTATGAATTTGCCTGAAGCACTATGGTAAGGTTAGTTTACCATCCCGTACTTAAAATGTAGTATTTTATTATTATTACATTTTGTGACTTATGGCGCTTCTATTGTATATTTTACAAATGTATAATGCCTCAACAATTAATTGCTGTTTAGTGTAATTATTCCATTGTAATATAGTTATAATGTAGAGGATGTCTATTGTCATGATGTCTATTGTTTCTAAATGAAAATTAATCTTAAAGTAATATTTAATGCAAAACAAAGTAAACTTTAAGTGCTAAGAAGATTATAAATGTGCTTTTTCCGTGTAATATAGTTTTTACATATTATAAATCAATTAATATGGTGATTATTTTTAATTTTTTATTCATAGTGGTGTAAACAAATATCAGAACAAATATACTATGTATGTTGATAATTTTAGAAGAGTGTATAGATACTTATTTGTTATTTATCATTGGATCATGATAACAAAATTGTATTTATTTTTTGTTGGTAATAAATAAAAATGTTCATTAGAAATCCTTTCTTCTATGTTACCTATTTTTACAAATAATAGTCAACAAATTAGTGGTTTATCATCAGTAAAGTAATTAATCTGTATATCAAAAGAAAAATATAGGTTAGCTTTATTTATACAGGTATAAATTACTAAAATTGTGTTATCTAAAGTTTAAAATTTTTGCAGAAAAAAATTTAAATAAGTGAACTGTTTCCCTTCTAAAGCCCAAAAGCCCTTCTAAAGTCTAAAGTTAAAATGTCTTAAAATCAAATGATATCACCAACTAAGGGTGTATTATGTACTAAATATGAGTGAAGTATAAGCAAATTGAGTAAGATTTCCTGTAGCTTTTGTTAAATACTAAAAACTACAGGACAAACCACTACATGACATAAACAATCACTACAGAGCATGATCAACCACTACAGGGCAGGAGGCACACACAGGGCATGACCAACCACTACAGGGCAGGAGGCACACACAGGGCATGATCAACCACTACAGGGCAGGAGGCACACACGGGGTATGACCAACCACTACAGGGCAGGAGGCACACACGGGGTATGACCAACCACTACAGGGTAGGAGGCACACACAGGGCATGACCAACCACTACAGGGCAGGAGGCACACACAGGGCATGACCAACCACTACAGGGCAGGAGGCACACACAGGGCATGACCAACCACTACATGACATAAACAATCACTACATAGCATGATCAACCACTACAGGGCAGGAGGCACACACAGGGCATGACCAACCACTACAGGGCAGGAGGCACACACAGGACATGATCAACTCGAGACTTTAAAGGTGGTCTGGGATTTATATTTGAAAAAATGTAGAAAAAAGTTGGGGGGGGGGACAATTAAAACTCACCCTGTATAATAGTGTGCAGGTTTGACAACATCTTGAATAAATTTGCATAATTTTATCGATTTTGGTTGTTAAAAAAATAGTTTCATCAGTATTTAAATTAAATGATAACGAAAACCATGTTAAGGGGACTGCAAAATATCAGATGAGTAGATGAAGATTAGATAGGAGAATATTTAATTGAATAAGTAGTAAACATGTTGCCAATTATGGTGGTTTTGTAATTAATTGTACATTAATCATTCTATATCGTAATGACTTTAATATCAAGCATTGGAGATTAACATGACCTTGCAGAGGTCATTATTTTTTAGCAATAGCTTTTAGTGTTGCTGTAATAATAGCAGTTTACATCATGAAATTGATTTTACAGCCCTCAAACCTATATTTTATTGTGTTTATTTTGTAAGATTTGAAAATATTTTCTGTCTAGGTTTTTGAAATACACAATCATCTTGATTTTAAAGTGCATGTGATTTTACAGTCAAGGCAATAAATAACTTCAATGATCAATAAGAATAGATATATAAGTCTATTGCTGTTGTCTTTACAGTAAGACCTAGGTCTTGGACCATGTTATTTGGTTTTAAGGTATCAAGAAGCCAAAGAACTTTGTTCATTCATATTTGCAATACACATGTCTGTTGGCACGTTGGTTGGCACTGCTCTCATATAAAATACTGTGGCTTATGATGCAATTTTGTTAGTCAAAATCAGGTTCAAGCAGAATCTATTTTAATGAGTTGGCAAATTAGCTTGTTCAGACAATGAAAGAGAGGTGTTGCTTTGTGAGAATCTTGAAATTCGAAGTGTGTAAATAATAGTTGGTAGGTATTAAATTTGAATACAATCCTGTAATTTTACAGCAACTTGGGTGGTAAAACTATGACACCTTTTGCTTTTATTTTACTAATTGTTTAAACAATTTATTGTGTGTGATAGCTTGGCAATCACTTTGAATCACAGCCGCAAAGTCAAGCCTTGTGGCCAATCGATTGGAAACTAAACGTTGGAAACTAAACTTTGCTTATCACTGTTGCCGCCGTCTGAAATACAGATAAGCTGATTCCCATGACTAATCTGCTATCAGCTGACAGAGTAATAGTTCCGCCAGTCGCCGGTAGGTGGCAGTTGTCTTCTGTCGCTGAAACAGCATTTTCTCGCGTTCGGTTCCGTTGATCAGTTGTTATTCTGTTCCGGTTTGTGCGATCGCGGCAAATGCGTGTTTCCCCGATTTCATGAAATAAACCACCGAAAATGACCAACGGGAAACTAAATATCCATCATGAATACCAGACTACTCTTGTAAGTAAACGTTTATCTGCTTAAAATTAGTTGTAAAAATGTCATTTATAAGAACATAACCTCAAAATTGCATTGTTGTGTTTTGATGATTTTGTTTTTCTTTTAGTGATGAGCGATTTCATTCAAATGAGTTGTGTTGCATTAGTAAGTTTCCATCTATTTGTTTTAAAATGCTTTTTTTGAGTTCCCAACCATTTAAAGCTACAAAATATATTCAACATTATATTAATTTTTACGCTTAAAATTTTAAAAGTAAATTGACATACACTTACTATCTAAATATAGGCTACATCATACCTAGATATTCAAAACACCACGGCAGATGTTAAGAATACGAAAATAGTTGAACTTTGAGCGGAAAACGTCGCAATTAGAAGCGTTTGGCTTGTAACCTGGTGCAGAATTTCGCATCATTTAAATAACTTAAAATCAAACAAAAACAATGGTACAATCAAAATGCACTTATCTCTTGATTATGAATTTTTGCAATTGAACTATTTAAAGAAAGCTACCATTGTTCATTACCTAAAGAATACATTACTAATTGGATTTTTAAACTGCTCTGACTTAAACCATAATCTGTTTATGAAAATAGAATCACTTGATTATGACATTGACAAATCATGCTGCTTTTTTGTGGTAGGGTAGGCTAACATTCATAAAAGGTCTTCGACTGATTCAAAAACTAAATAAATCTAAAAAAGAAATAACATTACAAAAGAATACTGAGCGCATAATCGAGTTTACATTTCCAAAGATAAAACTGGTATATACAGCTAGGTGTAGCCTATATTTTTTACTGGATCCCAGACATGTTTTCCAATTTCAAATGAACCACTACGGTATCTAAAATTATCTCAGAAATTAAACGTTTGAAAAATATACATCAACAACCTTATAAAGAAGGCGTTCAAAACTGATTCATTGGCTGTTTAAATTGATCCATTAGTTGACGTTGCACTAATGATGGTGCTCTAGTCCTCTTTATTTTAGTTCCAGTAGTTCTGGAATTCGTCCAAGGAAGGGGACTGGACTCTTCCTTCTGGCTTGATTCCATGTCCATCCTACATGAATAGAGCCCTAACATTACGCTTTCACAGCCACCTTCGTCGAAGGCCAAAACAAATTAACTTCAGCGGCGACATACGAAGTAATTTCACATACAAAAGACGAAAACGAGCCTACGGTCGAGGTGTGATAAAAAGTCGGAGTCTTAATATTCCACAATAGCACCCACTCCGAATATCCAATTTCAGACACCTCCCTTAAGTATTTTTTTTATTTCCAATGTTTTTCATGTTTTAGAAAAAAGATAATAGTTTATCACTATTATATTTTTGATTGAGGTAATAACCATGTGGTAAATTATCGCAAAATTTTTAATATACCGATTCTTTAGCTAGTAAGTTAAAATGAAAACAACCTGTGTAAACTGTGAAACAATCATACAGTATGTGCCGATATAAACAGTACTGAAAATGAGCAAAATACAACGTTTTCATTACTAGTTATTTTGGCGCACGCTGCGGTATGAAAAAGGTAAAGAAAATATGATAGCACTTAGATAGTAGCACTTTCAGTTAAACGCGCAGCTGTTTTCTTAAATAAACTGACAGCTGGTCCATAGACGGGAGAGCTACTTCAGCACCTGGTGTGAGCGAGACAATGGGTGTCAGCTGATTTGGAGCTATATTTCCCAAATTCATTTAATTGCCATTGTTGTAAATCACGTTTCACCTATGTGTAAGGTATCTGAAGGGGTTTTTACAGTTCTTATATCACATAGTAGTGGTTATTTTTTTCTGAGTGGTCTAATTGCATTATAAAGTATACAATGTTTAATGATTTTATTAGCCATTCTGTACAAATAATACAATAGGCATTGCCATTCTAAAAAAAAAACTCAAGTCCAATCTTGACTAAACATGCATCAATCTAACGACAGCGCAACGTCATACAGAAAACCGAAAACAACACAGAAATAAACTGCAAAAACGAAAAACTACAAAATAATGCAGCAAAACCATGCAGGGGCACAAGCAAGCAAAAAACTAAATAATAGCCTATATCTTACAGATAATGCATTACTGTACACTTTTCTGAAACGCGTAGGCCTAAATAAAGTCGTCGGTCTTATGTGAAAAGCTATATTCACAATATTAATGTAATTTACATTAAATCAACCAATAACTATTTTTTTACATTATATATTTTAACGGATATTGTTCTTTCAACCGGATACTGTATAATCTTCTGTATGAAGATGTGACATCGTCGTTTAAAACAGGAAGGATTAAGTTGCGAAAATGTATTTTCATGTTTTATTTGTGGGCAATGTATGTTAGGTAGACTTTGGAGTAGTTTTTGTTCGGAAGTTTATATTACAACGTCATTAATACAATCCATGTTTGCATTTTACCTAGGTAATACATTTAAACCGTTCTTTGTTTGAAGTTTATCTTTGCTACAGTGAGTTAATGTTATTTCGTGGACGTTGACCATCAAGGTAGGTAAAATCAAATGTTTTCACCGGAAAATTTTTGAAATAATAATTTGAGCATACTGTATATTTAAATTTTAAACCTATTATTAAACCTATTATGATTGTTAAGGATCGTCCAACTTTTAAAACTATAAATATTAAAGTTGTATTAAACAATACTAGTGGTCCCCTCGTGGTCGAAAGCTGAACCAAAATATGAAGGCCTATTGTGCAAACTTCTCTATTTCCACCCGTTTCCACCCCACGCCGTAAATGAATCATGTGATGATTGTGTAGCAGTCCCTTATTTGTTTTGATTT